ACATACCTATGTATATATACATGTACATGTATAAATATAAATTTACATATATGTATTTATTTAAGACATATAAGCTGGCTATCTGTAATGGATGGCAGCGTATGTAAAGTGAAGTCAATAGAATATTGGATAAGGAATAAAAAAAAAATCTGGGTTCTAATCCTAGCCCTGCCATTTTCAAGTTATGTGACCTTAGACAAGTCCCTTAACTTCTCAGAACTTGCTTCTTTATCTACAAAAATAAGGCAAACAATGCCTTCCCCTACATAGCTCACAGGCAATGTGGCAAGGATAAAAGTGAAAAAACCTCTAAGTATTACACGAACATAAAGTTTATGATTATCATCATCATTAGTATTGTGTGCCCTAAGACCGGAAGTGAGCTCTTCCAATAGCTATAGATAAGAAAATACTTCAAGGCATAGCCAGCATTTGATCTGGTTCTTGAAGGACAGGTAGAATGTCACAAGGCATTCACTCTAGATAAAGGGAAAGGAATGGGAAAAAGGCCTGTGGGTGATAAAGGCGGAGAGTATTTGGGGAACATGGAGAAATCCAATTTGGTATTTGGAGGAGGACTGGAGGACACGGGGCTATAAAAGGTGGTGGAGTCAGATCGTGAAAGTCTTTGCATGCCAGGCTAAGGAGTTTGGACTTAAATTGGTTGGTAAGAAGGAGCCATTAAAAGCTCTGGAAGTATGAAGTTCTTATAAAGTATGGGTGGAATTGTTTTATTTGTTGATAGCATATACGATGGTGTGGAGGGGAAGAGATTTGGAAGCAGAGAGGGCAGTTAGGAAGACTTACAACAGTTCTGGTGATAGGGAATGAGGTTCTGAACTAGGCTGGCAACAGTCGTTTGAAGAAAACAGGTAGAGATGAGAGACAGGGTCAACAGGACTGGGCAGATAATCAGATTAAGGTTGGAAAAACGTCTGAAAGGGAGGAGGAGAGAGAGGAGGAGGAGCCAAGGATGATGTGGCAATTTGTAAAGTGCTTGAAACACATCACATTATCTTCGAAACAACCCTCTGAGGTGTTATTATCCCGACTTTACAACTTAGGAAAATGAAGCTCAAGGATTTTAAGCAGTTTACCCCAGCTGCTATGTATTATTTGTTCTATATTCATGTATCTATGTACCTGTTGTCTGCTCTGAGGAAATGTTGAGAACAGACACTGTTTCACTGTTGTCTTTGTATCTCCAGCACCTGGCATATTGACTGACTGATGGATCACCCAAGGTACCATAGAGCTAGTGAAGTATCAGATGTGGAATACAAACCCAGGCCTTTCTGATTCCCAGTCTAGCATTCTCTCCATTATATGACACTGCCTTCGATTATGGTCATATAAAACAGTCAGGCCTCAAAAATGCTCAGATTGAGATATTAAATGTACAAAAATACAAGCATCTCCACCACCAAGTATATACTTTGTCTGTGCCCTGAGGCCTATAACCTCAAGGCTGATGCATTCATTCTGTGTTTCCCAAGTAACAACAGTATTTTCCAATGATTGCTCCAGGAGATGATACAGTTTGGACATACATCCTAACATTTTTCTTTTAATGACATGAGATTTAATTTGGTGCTTGAGGAATGTTTGAGAGGCCACCTCGAAGATCCAGTGTTGATCCTACTCACACCTAGCCCCCAGCCCATCCCAGACTATGCTTTCCATGGGGTGTAAGTTTATTTGTAAGGAGCCTGCAGCTGCAATTTTTTTTTTTTTTTGTCCCAGTCTGCCAATAGAGACTGGTGAGTGAAGCTCTAATGACATCAGGCTCAGCACTCCAGTAAGTGACTCATAAGCACAGCCACAAGCAAATTCCTTCATTACCGTGGTCTAGCTGAAAACAGAGTAATCAGGACTTTCCCAACTCGTAACAACCATTAGGCATTTTACGTGAACTCTGCTCTATTGGTCCACTAATTTCTAAATTCCTTCCTTAGGGAGCTCAATGACAAAAAAAAAACCCTACATATGCCAGAAATATTTATATTTTGTAGCACTTTTTGTCGTAGCAAAAAATTGGAAATCACCATTGATTGGCAATGTCATATTACAGTGCTTTAAAAAACAATGCCTATGATGAATTCAGAGAAGCATGGGAAGACATAAATGGAAAAAAAACAATAAAACAATCAAAATTGAGAGCTGGGAAATTATGAACAAGCTTGCACTTGAGATATGAGAGGTCATCTCTCAGGATCCTCTGCAGAGGTGAGGGACCAAGAGCATTGTTGTTGTTGAGTAGTTTTCCAGTAGTGTTTGAGTATTGGTGACTCCGTTTGGATAGAGTGGTTTGCCATTTCCTTCTACCAACTCATTTTTCAGATGAGGAAACTGAGGCAAACAAGGTTAAGTGATTTGCCCAGGGTCAAAGAGTTAATAAGTGTCTAAGGCCAGATTTGAACTCAGAAAGATGAGTCTTCCTGACTCCAGGCTTGGCACTCTATCCACTGTGCCAACTAGCTGGCCCAGGACCACAGGTACAGAACAATAAATATAAAATCAGATCACTTCAATATGTTGGTTACTCTTGCTATAAAATCAAGGCTCTTGGGGAGAAAAGGGAAATGAGAAATGTAGGTGACATAGAAACAAAAGCAATCAATAAAAATTGTTTTGAAATAAAATCCTTTTTTAAAATTGGGAATGTTGGGAAATGTGACTATAGAAAATTCTTCTCCCTTACTGTAGGGAGGGCCCTGTTTTCTAAGGGAAGGAGAGATAATTCCAACCAGAGACAGGTCCCTTTGATGAAGGGTGGACAGAGTGGTATTTCAATCTGAGTGAATCAAGCTTCCGTTAGTTTTGAGGATCAGTAGGGGTCATATTCTGAGATGATCTCATAGAACTGAGCTAGATTAGAAAGGAAACAAAAGAGAGTTCATTTCCTTGTTTTCATTATTACACTTGGCTGACTCTGAAACTGTGTAATTCCTTTGCTGAACCAGGATTCTAAACAAAGTCCTGCCTTTTGGTTGTGATGGTGTACAGTTGGGGATAGGAGCATAAAGGGGTAAGCATTTGGTTTTTCCCTAACAAACAGGTTAGTATTTAATCAGGATAGAGCCCACGCAGAATAAAGAGTCACAAGGGTCTCATACAGAGGCACAACGTACCCAGAATCTCCTAGCCAAAAATCCTGTTTCATGATAATCAATCTTGTGCATATGGTTAATATTTGATTCTATATGTTTTCCCTGCCAATCTTTATGTAGGTCTCACATCTGTTTGGGAGTTAAAACAGGTGTCCTAACCAGCCATTAACATGATTTTCAGAGACTATTCTAGGGCTGCTATATGGGAATGGCTCTAAATCCCAGAAAAGGAACTCTGAACACTGGTAAGGCTCCATTTCCAAGGAGGTAGAGATGCCAGGCACCAAAGAGACTTGTGGGAACTGAACTTTCTAGAAACATCCCTGACAATAAAAATGGCAATCTAATAAGAAGGTAAGAGGACCCACACTATCTAGCCTACAGCAGTAGCAGTAAACTCAAACAGATCCCTTCTGGTACATATTGACTTAGAAAATTACAAATTAACACTATCTATGTTGCATTGTATTTTTCTTTATTTTATATATTTCCCAATTACATTTTAATCTAGTTTGCCTTTCCCAGGAGTGTTGTTGGCTGTGTGTTTGACATCTCTGGTTCACATGGCATGTTTGGTTAATTATAGGATGCAACTGTCTTTCACATCATCATGTTTTACATTTAAAGGATAAACACAGTCAACATCACAGTCCTAACCTTTACAATGTCGTGAAAGCAGTGAGGAAGGAGTAGAAGACTCATTCCTCAAAATCAAGAAGAAAAAAAAAACCACCATAGGCTCAATTCCCATAATAAGTCATCCCTCATATTCCATTCTCTGTGGTTACATACATACTCTTCCTGGAGTTTCAATGGAATCTGCTGGCTTCTCTTCCTTACATCCTGACCCAAATAGATATTCACTCTCAAGTAACAGTTTTCTCATGGTAGGGAACTTCATTTCTGCTGTAGGGCAGACAGCACAGTGCCTTGTAACTCACCTATAATAAACCTTCTCATCTCATATAGTTCCTCTGTTAAGTTCACTAGGTCAATCATCTCATTTGAAACAGAGCAAACTCCTAAATCTGAGGGGCAGGGAATAGATCCCCAGCACTTAGCCCAGTGCTTGGCACATACAAAGTGTTTAATCAATGCCTTACTCAATACTTCTTTGTGCAGCCATGTGATTTACCCCACACCTTCAGTTTCCCTGCTCTATTCCCTTCAAACGAACCCTAGTGGATTTCAGAATTTTGCATGAAATCAGGACAATTTCTCTGCTGTACTTCATCAGTAAGAGTACCTAAAAAGGGGCCCTCCACCAAACTGTCATGCTTTCGAAAGTTAGCATAATGTTAGCCTCAGTTCCTTGAGGGCAAAGATCCTTTCTTTTATATTTATATTCCTAAGGTTCAGGCAGGTGCTAGGTGCATAGTAAGGGCTTAATAAATGCTTTTTCATTTATGCATTCATTCACTCACTCAGAAAAGTGAGATCTACAAGATCTAACACATGGACGTATCAAAAAGTTGTACACACATATTTGGTTCATTCTCTTTTGGAAGAGGGGGAAAAAGAAGAGCTCCCATCTTGGTAAGGTAAGGTAAAGCATAAAAGAACCAAAGATGTCTTAAATTCTTTGCAAAACAGAGCTTAGGTTCCTTTAATGAGTCAGGACATGAACCTCATTCTTAGCTATAACTCAGGACATGTTGTGAATTATATATGAGTGTCAGTTACTTTGTTCTAAGTCATGAGGAAGTCAGAAAGCTGCTGTTCAACTTTTCTAACAGTTTGCAACAAGCTAGTGAATCACCAGACTAGAAGAGCAGCCAGGACTCTCGAATTGCCCTGGCGGGTGCATGAACATGCAAATAGTTTAAGACAGGAAGAAAGTGGCTTAACAAACATGAAGAGGAAAATTACAAATGGAATTCAGACACTTACCCTCATATCTCCATTCATAGTTTTGGGTGTGTGATTGAATGCATGTACAGGATCCTTGTTGTAAACTTTGAGGAAGGACCTGTCCTGAATGTTCCTGGAATCAAAAACATCCGTAACTATAGCAGATGAAAGGAGTTTTATTTTAGCCATTTCTTTCACCTGCCCTTAGATATCCACTGACAATCCAACACTAGCTACAGCTGACCAGGCCAAAAACACAACACAAAAAAATGGAAAAAAAAATCTTCTACCACGAAATAGTCAAGCACAAAGAAAATTAGTGGGAGAAAGGGCCAACTTTATCTCTTTTCCCCAAGGGTAATTATTGAGGCAGCCCAGATCTCCACCCACACATATCAGGTAGCACCTTCAAGATTCTGAGTGTGTCAGGCTAACATTTTCAAAAACAATAAAGCTCTAATATTTACAGTAAGTTCAAAGGGAGGCAGTTAATATTTAAATATTTAAGTGTTTGCTTTGCCCAAACGACTCATTTTCTGCTTATCTAATGAATGCACACAAAAGAAAAATGGTTTGTTTTTTTTTCTTTCCCAAGAAATTTCAGCAAGCTAAGAAAGAATATTTGCCTGTAGTCTTAAAAAGAGTCCCACGAGGACCAAAGCTTGGTAGTGTTTAGAATAGTGTTCTACACAAAAGAGAATGACTCTCATTGCCAAGTAATCAAGAGATTTAGGCACACTGTGACACTTAGTGGTGTCATTCTGGCAGCAACACTTGCCTTGTAATGATCAAATTATTATCATTATGATGATGATGATAGTAATAATAATTGACATTTACAGAGCACTTTGAAGTTTGCATTGGTAAGGCTCACAACGGCCTAATGATGCAGGTGCTACAGGTATTATTATCTCCATTTTACAGATGAGAAAACTGAAGCTCAGGGAGATTTAAGTGATTTGCCCATGTTCATTCAGCAAATAAGGATCAGATAGGATTTAAACTCAAGTCTACCTGACTTCAAGGCCATTGCTGTTTCTTCTACATAACATTTTGGTAATATTAACAGTTGGGGTGGGGGTGGAATTCCACCATAGGTACTTCCCTTGCCCCAGAAACCAGGCTGGCTATGATTTAGTCTGTTCTATCCTCCAGAAAAAGGCTATATCCATAAAAATCTACACATCTTATCTCAAACCATACCTTAAAATAATTTTAGAAATTAGTAATCTGCATCGTGTCCATCAGATTCCTTGTTTGCCCTTATCAGTAGACAGAGTCTGTAGCCCAGAATGACTCTGAGATCTTTCCAAGCTATGACTCCCTTCCGTTTCACAGTAGGGATCACAAGAAATTTGGAGCAGGAGGCTAAATTCCTTTCCTCCAGGTTCCTCCACATTTAGTGGGCTGATCTAAATCACTGGGATTACCGGTTTTGGTTTTTAACTGAAGGGAAGGATTCTTGGACTAGTTTGGCTGCTTACCTTTAAATATCACTCCATAGCTACTCCAAAGCAGTGACTAGCCTGAGCTTACATTCTCGTTTTGGTTTTCAAGTTTATCAGTAGAAAACATGGTCAAGAAGGGAGAGAAGGGCCAGACATGGATATTTTTTTAAGGTGGATTAATAACAAATCCAGTATTAATGAAGTTAATTGAGCAGGGATCCACAAAAGAAACATCATTTATATGAAAAAAATGTTCAATATATTTTGCCATCATGTCTCAACCTCTCTTAAGCTCTGATTGAAAACATTAATAGTGATTCAATGGCTACTTCAAATAGATAATCAAATAGAAAACAGATGAATTTGGAAATAGCATGTTCTTTACAACTATGCCCATTACAAAAGCCATCAAGGTACAGCTTTTCATAGGCCCCAGAACCAGATATTAACTAGAAAAGTACATAAAGAGGGAGGCAGCAAGGCGAACAGAATCAAAAGGTGTTACATTCCTCCCTGAGCAGATCACATTTGGAGGACTGTTTTTTGTTCTGGGCACCACATTTTAGGAAGGATGTTGTCCAGAGGAGGGTGGCTTGGAGGGCTGGGGACTGGAGAATATGGATCAGTTGAAGAATCTGGGGATGTTATACTGGAAAAGAACACACTTAACAAGGTCTTCAAGCCTATGAAAGGTTGCTGTTTTGTTTGGCTCCATAGGGAAAAGAAAACAGGGAGCAATGGATGGATGTGGTAAAGAGGTAAATGCAGACAAGAGGTAAGGAAAGACTCCCTAACAACAATTGTCAAATGGAGGGAACTGACTTCAGAGTAAATGAGTTCCTCTTTCCTTGATGCCTTTAAGAATAGCCTATTTGACATTTGTTGAGAGAACAGGCAGCTAGGTAGCTCAGAGGATAGACCACTGGGCCTGGAGTGAGGAAGATATGAGTTCCAATCTGGCCTCAGATTCTCACTGTGTGATCCTGGGCAAGTCACATGTCCTCTTTTTGCCTCAGTTTCCTTAAATGGGGATATTAGTACTTACCTCCCAGGCTTATTGTTACAATCAATGAGATAATATTTGTAAAGTGCTGAAGAGTGTGCTGCAGATAGTAGGTGCTTAAACTTTCCTTCTTTCCTTGCTATTTTTCAACTCTAAGATTTTACAATGTTTTCCAAATGAATGCGTAGTTTGGACCTAGAAGGAGTAGTAGTGTATGTTTTAAATGACTCCATCTTTTCTCCTCTGCTTTCTTTGTTGACATATAGAATTATCCAAAAATCAAGAGGGGAATAGATGCTTAGGGAAGTGATGGGATCCCCCACATTGGACATCTTCAGGCAAAACTTGGACCACTTATGGAAAAACTGCAGTCTCTTCATTTGGTGAAGCATGTTTTACTTTCAATCCGTTGGATTGTAAGCCCCTTGAGGGCAGGGACTATCTTTTGCCTTTTTGTTTCCCTAGTATTTAGTACAAGCCTGGCATGTAGTAGATGCTTCATAAATGTTTACTGATTGACTACTGAGATCCCTCCCAAATAATAAATTCCTAGATTCTTTGATTTAGTAATCAAATCTTACTCATTCACTAGTCTGAATGTATAGACTGCTTTTTCTCTTCCTCCTTCTTATTCCTTTTATGTCCCTCTGGCCATTTGGTGATCCACCAAAGAACAGGCATGGAAAGTGAGAAGCAGCAAATCTCCATTTACTGCTTGCAAATAGCTTGAAAAAGAGCTGTATTCAGGGCTAGGCAGAAACGATTATACTGACTCAAATTAGATTCGGAGATTAAGCAGATTTCAATTATCCATGTTAGCTGAGTTCTCTAATATGTGCAATCAAGAATCCACTGAATGTGGTTACCATTCGTCTCAACTCCTCCAAGTGTAAAAGACGAAATATGTTTGTTCTAAACAGAATAACATATGCTGTTATACCACTGAATGTATACTCTTTCAAGATAACGTGACTATTTTATGTTTAAGCTTATGTTTTATAAATTTAAGGGTTTTTTTCCCGACAACTTTATTAATAATTCATTCTAAAAAACAAATACAAATTTCCTGATACCCATGAATATTTAAACAAGGTTTTTCAACATAGAAAGCTTCAACACCAGATGCAGTACCTATTCCTTAAGGCATGTGTCAGCCTTAAACGCCCTAAATTACTCATAGGCTTTGGCACATGCCTAAATATGTCAGTCCTGATAATTGCAAGTTATTTATCAGTTTACATCTATTTCGTGCCAGAGGCAAGGCATTAAAAAAAAATTACAAGGTGATACTTTGTTCTGCCAGGGAAGGACCAAGTTGGCCACCAGATAGATCCCTAGAGTAGGGATACAAGACTAGTAGATCTTACTCTAGTTGGGTAGATTGTAAATAATGGATACAAAAGAAAGAACACTGGACTGAGAACCTGAAGTAATGAGTTCGAATTCTAACACCTCCTCTATTGATGTGACTACTGGTATTACTTTGGGAAAATCACTTAACTTTTCTGGGCTTTGGCTTTCTCTTTTGTTCAGAAAAAAATAAAAAAACACTGGGTGGGAGCAAAGAGCTTAGCCTAAGTGAACACTACCCCCAAATCGGGGAATTTATTTCTTCTCAAGTCACATCATTTGAATTTAGAAGCAAATTCAAACTCAGCAAATGTTTATCAGGTTTCATTATTTGCAAAGCATGCTGCTAGATTCTGGGAACACAGAGACAAAACAGAACAAAACAAACACCTACTCAGTCTCTGCCCACAAAGAGTTTATAATCTAGCAGTAGTGAATGAATGCACATATATGTGAATATTTATTGACTGACTGGTATGGAGGATGAGCTTGTCAATTGGAATAACAATAATGATTGAACTCCCTGAAACCATGAGATGAATAAATTAGAGACTAAAGGTGCTCCGGGCATCCTGCAGGAATACTAATGATAATATAATAAGTTATAAAGATGGCACACACCACCACTTACCTTACATCATTTAATTCATAGTACACGTTTCTGCTTTCGTCTTTGATGTAAATTGCTACGCTTGGAGATTCCAGGATTTTCATGGTGAGCTGCTGAGGAAAGGCACTTACAAAGAGGGCACGGATTGTGTCTGCACTTGTGATTTCATTGGGCATCCTAAGCTGCTTTGTTTCATCTCCGTACTGAAGATATAAAACACCTGCACGCAAACAAAATGCCCTTATCAAATGCAGATCAAAACCAACCTTATTGGGAGGAATCATATGAAACATGCCATAAATAAAGCCATTTCCCTCAAACCACACTCAGGCATGTTTTCCGTACGGTTTTGGAAAACAAGTAACGAGAGACATATGGTTGGTATTTCCAAGAAATGCAGCTATGTGATTACCACACAACTACCTTTTACTGTCTGGAGATGAGGCATGTGCTAGAGAGGTTAATTTTCCTCTATTTTTAAACCAAATTTTTAAACAAAATCACAGGTCTTTTAAACCAAACAAAAAACTCAACTAACTTCTGGGAATCGAAAAGAAAAGATTCTCCCCATTTCCCCAGACTCATTTTCCCATTTTTTTTTTCTTCCCACTAATTGATTAGAGTAATGAATATACTCTATAACATGTATGGTGTGTCTTTTTTTTAAAAGCCCTACCTGAAAGTTAAATGAAATTCTTTCATTAATATTTTCTTATTTTTAATTTATGGAATAAAATAAGTATTTCCATAACATAGTACAATAAAAAAGGATTGTACATGAAAGTGCAAATTGACTGTGCACAACTTGCTAATCCTTTCAAATATTTTCAAGAAGGAAATGTTTATACCATTTCAGAGGCACTAAGACATTATTTACCAAATATTTATAGTAATACTTTAGGAGTAACAAAGTCCAAGTATCAAAATCTTTCAGACACAAAATAGGAGAAGCTGGATATATAAGGAAGTACAAGATGACAATCAGAATTTGACACCTAATGGTAAACTGAGAGATCCTTCTGTTTTGAGGTGAATTTTAGATCTGGTCTCATCGTACTAAAGAATTACAATTAAGTATAAACAATTTAAAGGCTGAGGGGGATCACAGGATCACACATGTAGAGCTGGAAGGGATCTTAGAAATCATTGAGTCCAAGTCTTTCACTTTACAGATGAAGAAACTGAGTCCCAGAAAGGTGAAGTGACTTTTCTAAGTTCACACAAGTAGCACGTAATAGAGATGAATGGGATTTGAACCCAGGTCCCTTGACCCTTTCTATTGTACCACCTTCCATGGAGAAACATGAGATAGGGCAGAATGGCAGGCTAATTTTGCAAACCTACCACTAGGCAATGGGGTCTCCTGAAAGGATCCTTAACCTTATGTAGATCTAAGAAATCTGGACACTACAGACTACTATGTATATAGGAGACAGAGTGGTGCAGCAGAAGGAGTGGAGGCTTTGGAAGTTTTCTTAGTTCAAACCCCAGCTTCACTACTTATTTCCTGTGTGACTTTGGCCAAGTCATTTAACTTCTCTGGGCCTCAGTTTCCTCATCTGTAAAATAAGGGGGTTGGATTAGATGGCCTCTGAGTGTCCTTCCAGTGTCCTTTCTGTTATCTTATGAAGCTACACTGCCATGTGACCAACAAAGAATAATGAAAAAAAAAAATTGGTTTCAAACCAAGAGCACCATCAAATCATACCTGATTGTCTCCCACTCATTGAAATGACAACTATTTCTTTTGCCCTGCATTCTTACCAAATGACCAGACATGAATCCTTGTATGGCTCTTTCTCTGACTCAGGGCACAGAGAGTCCCATGTTCTATCGCCAGCTGGTGACCCTTTGGGGAAAGGGTTTTACAGTAATTCCACCTCCTGCCACATATTCAACTCTAAAGAGAGTATGGAACCTTCCCAAGAGCCTCTGGGATCTGCAATATTCAGACACTGACAGGGTAAGTGTGGTGACTTTCCCTCGTGATAGATAATGCTATATCCAAATGCCACATACACTAGAGTAGGTATCCATAGCACAGTTGAGGTCTGGCCCATGACCATCACTCTGGTGGAGTTTCTGCAGAAGGGCACATTTGTAACCCGACAGGGATGAAACACCAGAGCTTGTAGCACTCCAGCCTGGCCTGGCTTTCATTCCGTCATCTACGCCCTGTACATGTGCATGGATCCCATACAGATCTGAAATGATATTTGCAGGTTAAGATTTTTGGGGTGATGGAAGACTCAACTGAAAACTATATGGATCATTATATTGTTGTTCAGTCATTTCAGTCATGTCTGACTCTTCATGACCCCATTTGGGGTTTTTCTTGGTAAAAATACTGTAGTGCTTGGCCATTTCCTGTTTTTACAGACAAGGAAACTGAGGCAAACAGGGTTAAGTGACTTGTCCTGGGTCACACAGCTAGTAAGTGTCTGAGGTCAGATTTGAACTTGGGAAGATGAGTCTTTATGACTCCAGGCCTAGCACTCTATCCACTGTACCACTTAGCTGTCCTTTGTCAGACTCATTATTCAGAGCATACAGAAACTTTAAACTACACTAAGACTTTTGGGACATGTCAGTATCTTACTCTGGTATCACTGTATGTTGAATGGTGTGGGCTACAGATATAGAATACGTAAGGTGAGGGTAAGGTGGATAAAATGCCTTTATAAGGAATATATTTCCCTTAATTATTGTGACCTCTACTATATATTTGTGTCTACACATATATGTTGTGAGAATCAATTGAGAATACATGCGTAAGGCACATTGTAAACCTTAAATGCTAGCTGTTATTAAGAACATGCAGTCTCCAACTTACAAATGAGTCCAGTTTAAAAAAATTCATTCTCAATGAATAAGAACCACACAAGACGCATGGAAAAAGTATCCATACTAATGAAATAACAGATCTATAAAGCAAATTATCCTGAAAAGATTCTAATTGATTACAACAGGTAAACAATTTTATGACCTCTTAGGGCATTAATCAGACCCTATACCAAACAGAATATGAAATACTTGGTCAAAATCTCTCTGCTATCAAAGATTTAATATCATATTTATTTGTTCCACTTAAAAATTTAAAGAAAATTTGGGGTTACTAACACATCCTTTAAAAATGGAACAAAAGTCCAAGTATGTCTGGATAATCTTTGTTTAATAACATTTGTTTAATAACATTAATAATATTTGTTTAATAACATTTCATGTTATTTCTTCTTTTTTTCCCCAAATAAAATGTCCACATGAAAATTTTAAAAAAGTTCATTTCTAAGGCAGTTGTTTAGAATTCAGGATAAGTTTTTCCATGGAAATAATTTTATAAACACTGATTATATGTGTGTATACACTGAGATGTACACACATACATACACACACATTATATCTAAATACATATATGTGTATATATCTATCTATCTATCATATGATGGCACAATAAAAACAGAAGAGGAACAATACTCTATACAAGAGCTCCAGAGTGATCCAGTAGACATGGACACGATGAACAGTCGTTCTCAATGCTCTGAGTTGAAGATGGGTCTTTCTACTTGTCTGTAGTGTTCTCAATAACATATGATCACAGGATAACAGATTTAGAGCTGGAAGGGATCTTGTAGGTCTAGAACAACCTCCTCATTCTCAGATTCGGAAACTGAGGCCCAATGACTTGCCCAAAGTCACACTGCGAGTTAGTGACAAAGCCACCTTAGATTACATTACAGCTTCTTTCTCCTAAGGAGCTCAAAGCAATTTCACACACTTATTTCCCTCAAATGGAGACCTTTTCTGATCTCCCAATCTATTAGTGTCTTTCCCCATCACAAAAATAATTATCTTGTATTTATGGATTTTCCCAGACCCTCAGGTACTAGCATCTAACATAACCTTCCATGTACTCTCAATTTTCTTGACTGGACCCATTGAGATTCAAGTTGTCTCCCTCATTAGAATGTAAGCGACTTGAAGAGAGGGATTATTATTATTGCTTTTTTCTTTGAATCTCTAGTGCTTAGCATAATATCTTCCACAGAGTAAGTTCTTGAAGAATGTTTGTTGATGGATTGAGATCTATTTTACACATATTCCTATATGTGTGTGCACGCGCACGCACACACACACACACGTATATATATTCTTCCCCTGATAGACCATAAGCATCTTTTACTCTTTTTATTCACAGTGTCTACTGCCGTGCTTGGCACAAGGCAGATACTTAATAAATGTTTGATGACTGGTTGATTGCTGTTCATTCATCTTCAGAACATTCTTGTGAAGCAGGGGGGAGGATGGGGCAATACATCTTCTTCTCAGCTCATTTTTCTAGGCATAAAAATGGGGGCTGAGTAACTTGTCTAAGTTCACAGGTTGGTTCAAATCTATGGATCCAAATCTCGTGTCTCAGCTTTGTACTCTTTCTATTAGACCCTTGCCCAGTAGTAAAACAAGAGCATCCTATTTCACCAATGGATAATGGGGAATTGTTAAAAATTAATGGAAAGCCTTCACAAGTATTGAAAAAAAATTTTAAAAATGCAAGGCCATGGCAACACAATGTCATTAGTGACTTGGGAGTAGTTTCTACTTAACAAATAGCAAACTTAGAAACGAACTGCACTCCAGCTCTAAAATGTGTGTCCCTGTTCCTGCCGGAGTCGCTTCTGCTGCGGCTACTACATCTGCTGCTCCTTCTGCAGGAGCCAAGAGAGTGTAGGAGTTGTCCAACATGGGCAATCAGGAAATGAGATCTTCCTGCTGAAACATTGGGAGGGTGGGTGTGGTGGAGAATTCCCTGCTGGAATTCTGAATACATTTTCTCATAGATTCCATATTACTAGAGTTCAGTTATGTTAGAGGTAAATAGCACTGGCTATCTCCATTACTGGGCAGCTAGGTGGAACAGTGGATAGAGTACTGGGCCTGGAATCATAAAAACACTTCTTCCTGACTTCAAATCTGGCCTCAGACACTTATTAGCTGTGTGACCCTACGCAAGTATCTTATAACCTTGTTTGCCTCAGTTTCCTCATCTGTAAAATGGGCTGTAGAAGAAATGCTAAACTACTCTAGTATCTTTGCCAAGAAAACCCCAAATGGGGTCACGAAGAGTTGGACACTAAGGAACAAATCTCTATTACTGGAACACTTTTCCCTCCTAGAATTTCTTATTTCCCTCAAGACTCATCTCACACAAACCCTTTCCTTATC